AGGGTTACAGTGTGACCCGGCCCAGACTGGACCAGTGATCTCTGGACTGTGGGGTTACAGTGTGACCCAGACTGGACCAGTGATCTCTGGACTGTGGGGTTACAGTGTGACCCAGACTGGACCAGCGATCTCTGGACTGTAGGGTTACAGTGTGACCCAGACTGGACCAGCGATCTCTGGACTGTAGGGTTACAGTGTGACCCAGACTGGACCAGTGATCTCTGGACTGTGGGGTTACAGTGTGACCCAGACTGGACCAGTGATCTCTGGACTGTGGGGTTACAGTGTGACCCGGCCCAGTGCTGTGACACTGTCTTGGTCTGACTGCACCTTTGTGAGTTCTTGTTCCGGCTGTAAATAGCTGCTCTACTAATGGGATTAAGGTGACAAAGAGCTCAGTGCTGCTGCTGACCCTCAGCTCGGAGCTGCACTGTAATCCGGTCACTGACCCAGGACTCGAGTCCTGGAGGCTGTAGGCAGGAACAGCCGGGGTTTTGGATCCCGTGCTCCGGGTCGCGGACTCTTCCTCGCAGGAGGCAGGACTGTCGGGAATCGGGTCCTGCGAGCGAGCAGGTGACTGTGGAAGAGCCGAGACGGACACCGGAGAGACTCGGAGGAGACGGGCCGCTCTTCGCTGAATTCCCTCCCCTGCTCCGACAGCAGGTCCAGCGGGCTGTGGGGCGTCCGAGGCCGGGGGGCGCTCCCGAGCTCAGCGGGGTCCCCGGCGGCAGGGGAAGTAGGACAGGGAGGCGGGGGCAGCGGGAGGGGGGCGCCCCACACCGCGCGGCTGGATTGATTGAACTCAGCGTGCCGCCGGCGGCAGGAACATCGTGTCCCAGCAGGCTGTGGGCCCCAGTGCGGTCAGGAGGGGGGAGGAGGGGGAAGTGTCAGAGATCTGAGGCTGAGGCCGACTCCTGGGAGAGATGGGGGGGCTCCTCTCTGCACCCCCTCCTCTCCCCAGGCTGTGTCACGTTTGGAGCTGTTAACCACACAGTGACCAGAGAAGGTTGGCCTGGTTTTCCAGAGCCGTCCTGTCTGTGCTGTGCGCGTGTGGCGCAGGCGGACGTGCGTGTAGAACGGAGGACAGGAGGTGCCCCTCCTCCCCTTACACTAAGGGTGGCGGAGGTCTGGAGCAGCTGTGGAGGCAGACTCCCCTGGCTGTGCCCAGGTGTGTCCCCTCGGGCTGACCGATGGCCTCTCCCCTCTCCCCTCGCAGCTGAAGGAGCAGGCGGACCAGCTGGGGGCCAACCGCCTGAGCCTGGAAGAGCTGTCGGACGGCGGGTCCTCGCGCCGCGGCTCCTGCGACCTGGTGCTGTCCAAGGCCTCGGAGGGCCGCCTCGCCCGCCGCCGCCGCCAGGCCTACCTGGAGGCCCGTTCCCGCCGCGGCTCGAAGCAGGACCGCCTGCCGCCCGCCCAGCCCGAGCAGGAGCCCATTCCCGCCGCGACGCCCCGGCGCCGCTCCTCCTCCACCGAGGTCTTCCTGGCTCCCATCATCCAGCTGGTCTCCCAGGGCCAACGGGCCTTTGAGTACCTGAGCCCCGGACCCGCCCCCGTCCCGCCTGCCGTGGAGGTGGCCAATCAGGTGGCGGAAACTGCAGAGTAAGGCCTTGCCCCGCTGCACGCAGTGGCCAATCAGCAGTTTCGGTGGTGGTGGGGGGGGGCGGTGTTGGGCAACCTTTAGCTCCTGCACCCCGTTGCCAGCTTCTGCAAAATGATTAAGCCTCTCCTTAACACTTTGAATTAAAATCAATTAAACAAGCATCAGTTAAGAATCTGAGTGTCAATTAAGCAATTAAAACATAGAGGACACGCAGGGAAAAGCTTGTGTGGCTCACTGGTGTCCTGAATGAGAAGCACGGTGTTTTAGTAGTTTCCCACTGGGTGAGCTCTGGAGGGACGGGCAGGTGGGACTTGTGTCTCTCTTCTCTGCACTGCACTGACTTTTGTTTCCTTTTTTCTGTGTTGGGTTTGATTAATTTTATGGTGCAGCACCGAAACACTCGCACACGCTCTCGTGCACGCTCACACACCCTCGCACACGCCCTTGTGCACACTCACACGCCCTCGTGCATGCTCACACCCACACTGGCACACACTCACACACGCCCTGGCGTGTGTATAGGGTCTCTGGGCAGCTGTACTGTACACCTATAGGGTTTATGTGTGGGTTTACACCTGTATAAGCAACTCCGTTATTCTTCACAACATTAAAAAAAAAAGAATTAGTCAGAGCATGACACAAAGCCCAGTGTTCCCCACAGCCTCTGCTCCTGATGTAATCCCCGCTAACGAGCAATTAAAGTCTGAGTCACAGTCAATCTGTCCAGCCTCCTGCCCTTGAGTAACGTAGTGAAACTCCCACCGGCCACCCTACATGCCTTCGGTCAACACAGATGTAAAGAGAGAGTTTATGTCTCTCAAATATTTATGAAGTGTGCACAGCATCTTAACCTCTTTGTATTTTACTCCGTATTTAAAAAAGATCCTTTGCAGAGCCTCTGCAGGGAGTAAGAGATCTGGACAGCAGGGCTGTGCCTGGAGTCCTGGTCATCCTGAGGAGCAGATTCTAATGGCCTGTTACACCGTCACGCACACACACACTCACGTCACGGCAAGTCGCCCACGTCCCTGCTCTGCCAAACATCCCTCACGCTCCCTGGGCAGGCTGGTGGGGGGAGCCTGCGTAGGACTGGGGGGATCGTTAGGCTTAATTAGACTGAAACGGTACGTCGCTGGCCGAGCTGGAGAGCTCGGGAGAGAGAGCGTGGAAGAGGGAAGGGGAGTCGGAGGAGCCGGGATCTGAAACCGGCAGCCGTAGGAAGCCACCAGCGTTGTTGTGGGAGTCGGAGGCCGTGTCTTTCCCAGCGGAGCGGCGGAACAGGTCTGGGAATGTGGGAATGGCCAGGATGCAGGGGGCGACAGGACCCCCAGCACAACACAAACCCCAGCCCAGTTCAGAAAGTGCGTGCCGGGCTGCACGCTGGGGTTCTGCAGGGCCTGCAGGTTCTGTTTAGGAGAGCAGGCTGGGGGAGGAGGGTGTCCACCTTTCTGTTTGGCATTTTAAGGAAGCATCCGTCGATCCATTATCGGAATGCTTATTATCCTGGGGAGGGATTGATGCCTATCTCGGGACACGTGAGGCTCAAAGCAGGATACTCCCTTTATAGAACTGCAGTGTGACACAAGGCACACATTCTCACACGCACACACACAGAGACAGCTCACAGACATCCGCTCATCCCACACCCGCACAGCTACAGAGCAAGCCTGCAGCCTCCAGTCCTTAGCCCCACCCAGGACGGCTGAGATGCTGATCGCCACACCTACTCGCAGAACACAACTCCTGTGGAAATACGTCAGGGCAGGGAGGGAGACAAGCAGGGCTGTAGTTGGATGTCAGGAAGCTACAGGCTGTCTCAGAATTCAGAGGGTTTTAAACCACAGACCTGGACATCTTCTGTCTGCAATGTCACGGTTTTGGGTTCCTTTCTCCTCCCAGTAACAGACAGCGCCTGGTCTTGTCCTCTAAGATCAGCTACAATTAAAACAAGCATCGATAATCCGCCTCCTAACAGGTGTCTCTATTAACATCTGCAAACTGCCCCCTCTCCTCCTACTTGTGAGTGGAAGAGCTTCCCAGATCTGGTGCCAGTATTCTGAGCACCCTTATGGTCTGAATCTCCGTGGGTTGAGTTGTGATACGTTCATGGTCTGAGTCGTGCACGAACCACCTCGTTCTGCGTTTTTTTTTTTGGACTTGCTCTTAAATTTGGAATTTCTCACTGTCCTCCTGTCCGCTAATGGTGACGGACAAGAGGAGGAGGGGAAAAGGGCCGGACAGGGGAAGGGTCGGGGTGTCAGAGGGGCACCCCTCACAAACTCTCACCCACGCAAAACGAAACACTTTTTCGAATATTCTTTATTTGCGACATCATACAAAAAAAAAAAGACATTTTTCTGAAGGTTAAAAAAAATGTTTACCAAAATGTTCTGCCAGCATATAAATTATTTCCTTTGTACAAGTGTGCAGAGAGAGCTCGCTCTCTGCGGAGTCAGAGGCGCCTCGCTCCCTGACCAGGGGAACCGGCAGTGGGGTGCGGAGCCGTCTTGGCCCGGTGGCCTGTTCCGGAAGCTGGACCTAACAGCGCCACACGGGCCCAGCAAAGAGCTGAAAACGATGCTTTCATCCACCGGAGAGGACTGGATCGGCAGGGCCAGACTGCAGCCTTCAGATCCCTTCCACCTGCCCACAGCGCACGCCAGAGCGATCGCCCCTCTCCCCCGCGTCTCTCTCGCCCCCTACTGGGCGAGGGCAGTAGCTCGGGCACCTCGCCAAACCCTGCCGCCGCCCCCCGCGATTCTGTCTGGGCCGTGTCTCTCGCACCCACAGCCGGAGAACAGGAAGAGGAAGGGGCGTGGCCTGGCCATGAGGAAGGCCCTCCCGCCCCCCCTGGGCAATCTGGTCCAGCCAGCAGCCCAGGACGGACGGATCCGGATCTCGGAGCAGCACAGCCAGCCTGGCGTCTTCCCGGATTCTTTCCGCAAGCCCAGGCTGTCCAAAGGAAAAGGGGGACCTCCTCCTCTAATCCGCTCACTCGGTCCTCCTCCGCCCGAACACGGCCGACACGCTCCGCACGATGCCCCTGAGCCCCGCCCCCTTCTTCAGGGCGCGCGCCCGGCGGATCAGCTCCAGCAGGGCGTGGAAGACGGCCAGCACGCCGTGGTAGGCCTCGGCCGCGGAGATCTCGAAGAAGCCGCAGTCCGCCGCCAGCGCCAGCAGCCGGCCCTCCTCGCCGGACACGGCGCGGCGGTGCTGCAGGTCCCGCTTGTTGCCCACGACGACCACGGGCGCGGCCCGCTCCGCCCCCTTGCGGGCCTGCCGGATCCGCTGCACCAGCTGGCGCACCACCTGGAAGCTGGCGCGGTCGCAGATGCTGTAGACCAGGATGAAGCCGTCCGCCCACTGCAGCTGCTCCTCGCTGACGTAGCCCGGCGTGGCGCAGTTCTGCGAACGAGAGGGGAGGGGGGGGGGGCGCCCCGCCATCAGCCGCCGACAGCCAACAGGTTTGCACAGCTCCTCCTGGAGCCGGCTGGGAAAAGCCCAACAGCTGTACCCCGCCCAGGATTCGAACCTGCAACCTCCCCGTTTCCGAGTGCACAGCCCTGACGGCTCCAATTGTGGGATCGTTTGAGCTGCTGAGTCAATGAAGTCATTGCTTTCCTCTGGCTGAAGCTGTTGTGCAGCACGGTCTGCCTACAGGGTATGTACCATCGCCGAGACTTTCTGCTGGAGCAATCCGAGTACAGTGCCTGGCTCAAGGGTACAACCGCTGTGCCCCCACACAGGATTTGAACCTGCAACTTCTCAGTTCTGCGTGCAGAGCCCTGTTGGCTTCTCAGTAGGTCATTATGGGATCATTTACACTGCTGTGGCAGGTAAGTAATTGTTTTCATCTGGCTGAAGCCGTTGTGCAGCATGGTTTCTGCCTAAGCAATCTGAGTAAAGCAGGCCTGGTTCAGGGGTACAACCAGGCCCCCCTACACAGGATTTGACGGCTCGTGAGGCTCATGAGGTCGTTATGGGATCATTGCACCTGCTGTGTCCATAAAAGGAATTGTGCGCACAGATATCACCACCAGTTTGTACAGCTGGGCGTGCTGGGGCACTGTGGGTACAGCGTCATGCTCGGGGGGTACAACCCAATTAGGACTTGAACCCACGACCCTCATTTCTGGGGTTCAGAACTCCTAACCACTCACTAATCACCTCGCACCGAGGTCTGGGTTTATAGTTGAAAGATCATCAACATACTGTACATTAGCAGTCACACTGACTGAAGACACTGAATCTCTTTAGTCATGAACAGGAAGGTCCACACAAGAACCCCAGGTCCCTTTCTGTATTACTTTGAAAAGTGACCTGTGACCTATGACCTATGAGGATTGTGAAATGTCAGCCCGGTGGACTTCTGTAGAATCAGTGAAACTCGAACCCGAGGACAGGTGGAAACTACAGGAAAATGCATTGTAAATGGAGAGAAGGAGGCACTTTCCACAAAGAGTGGCGGGAGTCTGGAACAAGTTACCCAAGCCAATACCCTGGATGCTTTCAAGAAATGTCAGACCAGCAGTTCAATGGCTGGCAGCGGGTCATCCCCACCCTCTCCTCTCACCCGAGGCTCGCGTTCCCCTGCAACTCACCTGCGGATACAGCGAATCCCAGATGTTAAAGCAGATCTCTCGCCCGTCGATTCGGTCGCTGTGGCTGTAAACAGATTCTGCGGGGGGAAGAGAAACAAAAAAAAAAAACAACGTTTCAGGCTGGTGGCGATGTCCTTCCCTCGAGGAAGAGAGCGCAGCAGGAGTCTGCGCAGGGAGCTGCGAGGCCGGCGGCGGCCGTCTGCTCACCCATGTCGCCGTATTCTCCGATGAACCTCCGCGTGAGAAAACGCACCGTCAGCGCTGTGGGCAGATGGGGAGAACAAACGGTTAGCGCCGCCGCTTGGGGCCTTTCCTCGCTCACTCGGGTCCCCCGTTTCCAAAGGGCACCGCAGCTCAGCCCCGCGCCCCGATAACTCTGGAGCTTTTCGAGGCTTTTTTTGGAGTTAAGGAACAATGCTAATTGGTCTGTATGAACACCGTCCATTTTCCAACAGCTTTATCTAATTCAGGGTCGCGGGGAAGCCGGAATCTATCCCGGCAAGGAATGGCTCCAGGCAGGGAACACCCTGGCCAGGACGTCCGTCCGTCACGGGGCAGATGGACACGCACGCAACTGAAGGCAGTTACCCTGCAGGAAAGTCTCTGGACTGTGGGGGAAAGCCGCGCGGACGTGGAGAGAACATACAGACTCCACACAGATGGATGTCAGGAATTGAGGCCGGGGCCCCAGCGCTGCGAGGCAGCGGTGCTAAACACTGCGCCTGTCTTGTACAAAAGCGTTTGCGTGAATGACATTAACAGTGTCGCACCTTCCGTGGGGCACCCACTCGGGTGAGCTCAGACGCGCGACGCGGACCGGCGAGATCACGGCGCTGGCGCGCAGTACACTGTCGATCGAGAATTCACAGACCCAGAGGTTATTCTCGATCGCCATGACCCGATACCGAGCTCAGCCCACCGCGATTAATGCTGTCCCACACACTGCGAGAAACACGGACCGCTACTGCCCCGCCCCGCCCTGCACATACCATGCCCGACTGTGGTAATGATCCCCAATATTGATTATTAATCGAATCATCAGTACGGTTTGCTCACCGGACTTCCCGACGTTCTCAGCTCCCAGGAGCAAAATATTCGCCTCGACCTTCTGCTGGCTTCCCTCCATCGTTTTGCTGCTGTGGTGGGCGCTGGATTTGACCTGGACAACCATTTGGGAGACTGAAGAAAAGGCGAGGTCAGTATCTCCGGCCTCTGGAGCTGCGAGACCTTCTGTCAGAAGCGCAGCGGCACGTGGGCTATATAGACAGGAGGGGGCGGGGTCTTAGGGCTGCGGGGACGGCACGCCAGCCAATCAGAGCGCGGGTCGCCTGTGTTGATGTGTTCCGAACGGGCACTGGAATTCCGAGACCCCCCCTAACAACCCCGCTCCCCCCCGCAGAGCAGGTCAAAGTCTGCCCGTGGGAAATAAACATTAAACTCCAGCGCGGAGCGAGTGCCTCACGCCGGGGCAGGAGGCCCGGGGAGAGTGAAACTGCAAAAACCAGCACCAGGGCATCGGGTTCCTGAGCATCGTTCAACCGCA